GGCTGTACATCTTTATGGGAGCAGGCAACCTGATGTTTCCCCTGACGACCTGCTGGTCGGATTGAACCACCAACGTTGTGGTTAGCAGCCCATAAAAACTACCCAAAGACAGAAACGGGGAAGTGCTAAACTGAAAGGGAGTCCAGTAAACTGGGAGGGACCAAGTATATTGAGTGGGCTGCCAGCCTGTGAGTTGAGCTGGTAGGGCTGGTTCAAGCCCTGATTCTGCCTTTTATCGCCATGTGGCACATCACCGCCCTTGGATGCACGCAGAAAATGGGCAAACGGGTCCACAGTGTGAGGGGGTCATGGGACTAGCTGATAAACTGCACTCTGACTGCACCCGCACAAGACCCAAACCCCGGGCAGGTGGTAGGTGCAGAGAGAAGGGGCTGGGAGGCCTGGAGGGCACTGCTCTTTCAGATGTCCATCTTTCCGTCCCTCCTGAAAACTAGTCTTCTCTCAAGATAGATGGGTTTGGCCCCTCTTCCGACTACAGAGATGGCAATGCTTACTGAGCATCCATTGCTTCCCCCCCATCTCTATTCCGGAGCGTGCCCTTATCACGGCTAATCGGCTATTACACTGGGCCCATGTATCCAGGCAACCAGTTAGCCGGAAGTCGGCCCTGGCATCTGGATCCGCTGTTCACTCCTGTGGCTCTGAGAGGGGTGGGCGAGTGCTGGACACAGCCCCAGAGCCTTTAGCCCACGGGATCACAGAGGTGGATGGGACCATGTTCAGCCAGTAAATGGGAGGCAGGCTTGGACTCTGCCTCCTGCTTCAGGAGGAGTGCACCAAGGGTTACTGATCACCCTCCCCCTGCATCTGTGTCCTCCAGAGCCTCAGGGCACCTCACTGCCCCTACCTCCAAGCCCCTAGGCTTCAAAAGGTCCTCCCAGAAGTCTCTGAAGTGCTGCCTGCCCCTGATGTATTTGGCCTTGTTTAGTGAAGTGTCCTTGTCCTGGCTGACCCTCGGGCTGGACGTTGCTTCCCCTGGCTGTTCTGGGCGCTCGCTGACATGTTCAAAGGGCAGCTAGTCTGACCAGGAGGTCAGGAGGGTGGGCCCTGCTCAGGAGGTGGGGTTCTTGCTCACTCACTGATAGGTTCTTAGGCTTGGAGTCTTATACTCCACTCAGATAAAAAAATAAATCAAAATAAATCCACGTGTATAATGCAAGTGACTGGGAGGAGGCCATTTGACTGAACAACCCCCCTCCTAACCCTCCCAAGTCTTACAGAGGCCCACGGCCCATCCTAAACGAAGTCACAGAACAAGCCAAGGCCAGGCAAAGCCAGACGCAAGTCCATTTGTTCGGACACAATCTTTCAGGAAACGTGTTCCCCCAACTCCCCAGCCTGCTCTTTCCCTTACCTGTCTTTTCTATCCACCCCAGGCCCTGCCCTGACCCTTTTTCTGGTGGATTAAAGAGATGCTGAGGCCTCCCAACACTCAAAACCAAACTCACTGCCATCGCGCCAATCCTCACTCGTGGCGACCCTGCAGGACAAGGGAGGAGGGCCCCTCTGGGTTTCTGAGACTGACTGTTGACGGCAGGAGGAAGCCTCACCTTTCTCCCGTGATACAGCAAGTGGTTTCGAATTGCTGACCTTGCCCTTCGCAGCCCAACATGTAAGCACTACACTGCCAGGGCTAAAGCCTAGGGAGGGGAAATGGTTTGTCTCTGGCTCCCTCCCACCACTAGTCAGGGCAGCCCAGGCAGTGTTCTCAGGGGTGGGGGTGGGGTGGACCATCTGCAGGAGTATGCCGATTCTTAGGTGCTCAGGGGCCTGGTGAAGAAACCAGCATTTCAGGCATGCCTGGGTGCTCCATAGCACCCTGCAGTTGGCAACCACTGGTACTGTCCCTCTCACCAGGCCCCTAGCCCCAAGGTGCCGGGCCTCACTTCCTCAGATCTGCCATCTTCTTTTCTATTCTAGCCTGGGGCTCAGCACAGCCCTAGAGAGTGGAAGTCACTTGGTCAAAGGGAACTGGCATACGCTGCCCCCTCCACTTCCAGCCTGTAAGGTGAACAGTGTCCCCAGGGAGATCTGAGTGCCTCCAATCAGTCAGACAAAATCAGCAGGGTGCCACTGGCCCAGGGATAAAGCTCAGTAGGCAGGCAGGGCGGAAAAGCTGGCTGCTGGCTGGGTAGATGTGGAAACAAGGAGGAGGGGGGTGAGTGCTGGTGCATTGTGGGGGTTGAGATTTATGTCACAGAGCAAAATATATATGGCTGGGAAACCAGCTTGCCCTGTACACACCAAAAAGTCGATCAAAAGGCAAAACCCATGCCACAGGCCATGTGCTGATGATGCTAATACCCGCAGGTAGCCCCCATGAGCACCATTCAGGACAGGAGTTGACCCCGAGGGAAAGGAGGTCTGTTCTGCCTAGAAGGATCGATCTAGGTCTAGGAGCTTCTGGGATCCCAGGATTTCAAATGCAGAGAGAACCCCCACAGCTGTGGAGCTGATTCTGACGCACAGTGACCCTGACAGAGCAGGGGTGCCCCTTCGGGTTTCAATGGCTGTACATCTTTATGGGAGCAGGCAACCTGATGTTTCCCCTGACGACCTGCTGGTCGGATTGAACCACCAACGTTGTGGTTAGCAGCCCATAAAAACTACCCAAAGACAGAAACGGGGAAGTGCTAAACTGAAAGGGAGTCCAGTAAACTGGGAGGGACCAAGTATATTGAGTGGGCTGCCAGCCTGTGAGTTGAGCTGGTAGGGCTGGTTCAAGCCCTGATTCTGCCTTTTATCGCCATGTGGCACATCACCGCCCTTGGATGCACGCAGAAAATGGGCAAACGGGTCCACAGTGTGAGGGGGTCATGGGACTAGCTGATAAACTGCACTCTGACTGCACCCGCACAAGACCCAAACCCCGGGC